ATCATTTACAATAGCAGTATGGTATGGGTTTTGCTTTAATTTCTGCATACAATTCTAGGAAATTCTCCACTGTAGAGTTTCCCCTAATATGCATCCGATAATGGGAGGCTCTTGGACTCTCTATTTTGCTTTTATCATGCGTTAAACTTTATCAACAACTACTGATGTTAAATCCTCATTCTTGGCCTTAGTTGCGTGGATGTATACTTGAGTGTGAATGGCTCCCATAGAGGATCGGACTTGGGTTGCCACCTTGGTGCTTATGGGAATTATTGAGGCAGATATGTATAAACTTTTCCCATGGCTAGTTTAGAGAATATTTTTATTTGGAAAGTTTTTACAGTAAAGTATTTTATGAAAAATTAATGATTTTATAATAAAATTTTGTTAAAATTTCATTTTTGTGTGTTTGGTGAGATGTCGATTTTGGGAAAATTAGTGAAGAGATATCAAGTAGGATTCATATTAAGAAAGTTAGGGGGCAAAATTTTTTTTAATTAAAAATGTAAGAAGAAAAGATTGTCTATTGGAAATTGTTTTAGGAAAAATAAAAATTTTAAATGCTAATTTCACCCTTTTGTTATAGCATTGTTTCCTAAAAAATCCCTAACAACTTGAGTTTGACAAGAAAATAGGATTTTTCAGGCAACTCTTCTCCTTTTCAACGATTGACCTCCAAAAGAATGGCTATAAAAAATGTCTATGAACTAAATTGCACCTCAGATGATGTTGTAAAACAAAGGATGAAATTCTACAAAATGTGTTATTAATTGCCTTGGACATCTCAAAAGACTTTAAAACCACAACAATGTAACAAAAGGCTACAAATCCTAAATTAAACACAATATTCTAAAGTAATTATCCTAAAACGAAATAAATAAAAGAAAGTAACATGCCATAAAAAGAAATTCACATAAAATAGACTATGTAAAATTGCAAACAATAACTCCAACTATGCAAACCAAAATGATTTCTTAGAAATTAAACTAATTATTTGCAAACTTGAAACAAAGATAACTAGACTACTTGATTACTGAGACTAAAAGATAATCTACAAATTGATTAAAGTTTGGAATCTCATAAAATTAAATCATAATCTAGAAATTGAAATTAAACAAATTATAAGTCTAACAGTTGTGTAGAAATGAGGAATAGGAGGCAAAAAGCATTCAATCCATTCATATAAGCAAATAATAAAGATGAATCCATAGAAGATGGAAAACTAACCAAATCAACAAGGCAGACCTGCTTACAAGGCTGAACTACTTTCAAGTCCTTAAAAATTAGCAAAAGTTGCAATCTTTGAAAGAAAATATGCACAAGGACAGAAAACCTAAACTAAAACAAAGAACAAGAGCGAATCTTACACTCTAATATGGTAATCACGTTGAAATTTGGAAGAGAAAGTTTGAAAATTCAAGATGCATACACGTTGGATGGTTATTTTGTAGGATAGGCCATGTGTCTGTGTGTGTAGAACTGATTTTTTCCTCTCTTGATATTTTTCTCTTCTCATGGGTAGTTACCTCCATAATTCTTGCTTTTACTTCCAAAAAAATCTGATGTAGAAGGCCACGTCTAGGGGAGTTTTCCTTCTGTCTAGCAACTGATGATTACTTACAAATAAATCTCCAACAAAATCTAGATAATCTCTCCTAAAATCTCCACAATCTTTTAATTATGTTAAACTTTAACCCACTTAAAAAACTTATCCTACTTGAACTCTAATCACTTTTTCATTTTCCATTCAAAACTTAAGCCCAAAAACACCTGTGGACTCAACTCAGCCCATCACAAAGAAGTGGCCTAATTAATTCTAAAGCACACTTGTGGCTAGGGCTGGGCATTTTTTAACCGAACCGATTGTTTACTCGAAAATCAAACCAAAAAAATGAATTCGGTTCGGTTTCAACGGTTTCAACGGTTTTTGGTTCTATTTTTTTGGTTTTGATATTAATCGAATTTATTTCGGATCGGTTTTGGTTGAGTTTTTTAAAAATCAAAAATCGAAAATAAAACCAAAATTATGATAAAATAGATAAAATATATTAAAATATGATAAAATATAACAAAATATAACAAAATATGATAAAATATGTGATAAAATGTAATTTATTATTAAAAAAATAATTAATTAATATTTATTTAATAAAAACCGAAACCGAACCAATTTCATTAATAAAAATCAGTAACCGAACCGATTAACTTATAACAATTTTGGTTCGATTTTGGTTCAAAAAATTAAAACCAAATTTTTTTGGTTAATTCAAAATCGGTTTCGGTTTTAACCGAAACCGGTTTTTGCCCACCCCTACTTGTGGCCTTCCCCTTTTTAGTTATTTTGGGTGTAAACAAGTATTAATGTATAAAAATACAAAAATAACTTTAAAAAATTCAAATAATAAAAAAATAAAAATTTACTTATATATAATTTTTACACAAAATTTTCATCATTTATCTTTATCTTCAATGATTCAGATTTATTAAGATTTTTTAGATTAAAAAATAATTATTTTTAATAAATATAATAAATAACAAATAAATATCAATAATAAAAAATAAAGAGATGAATTATTAAGATATTATATAAATATAATATGAAAAATTTATATATAAATAAACCATACTAAAAAAAATAAGAAAAAACTTTTCTGTCAAATAAACGCTCCCCCCCTGAAAGAAATTGCTCTATACCCTATCAAATAGTTAAATATATATATGAAAAAAAGGGGGAATAAGATTTTTAAAATGATTTTTGTTTAGTTATCTACATAGTAACGACTAGATGATTAAGGGATCATGAGTCAAAGGTCAAGGATAAAATGCATTTTATATTGATATTTTTCTTCTTTTTCAACTTTCTTATATATTGATGTACTCTCTTGCTCAAAAAATAATAATTTATTAAAAATTTTATGAGTACAAAATACCCAAAATAAGAATCATGTCTTTTTTTACTTCATATTGCATTTTAGATTGCATAATAAAAAAGTATAGTTTCAACCATGAAAAACTTATGTCCCCTTAATGAATTTGTATACAACGGAGATTTATTTAAATATATTTGTACCTTCATAAATTTGTAGTCTGGATTAAAAATATATATTTTTCTAAATATGCTTGTTTGGTAAGAAATTAATTTTATTAAAATATTTTTATTAAAAAGTGGTTGATAAAATATTATATGAAAAATTAATGAATTTTGCAAAAAAAAATTATTATTATTATTATTATTATTTGATTGTAAACTTTAATTTGGTATGGTAAAGGAGGTGTTGAAAAAGTTGGTGAAAGGTATTGAGTTTCATATTAAAAATAAATTGAAATAAAGGTTTTTCTTCCAAAAATGTTAGGGGAAAAAATTGTTAATCAAGCACCTTCTTTTGTTATAGTATTGAAATGGAGGAAACATTTATTCACATACAAATTTTATATATCATATTTATCTAAAATTTTAATAATTCATCTCTTCATTATCAATTGCTAAGATTTATTGCGATTATTTAAATAAAAACAATAATTATTTTTTAATAAATAAAATAAATTTCAATTATTAAAACTAAAAAAATTAATTATCAAAATTTTATATAAATGTGATGTATAAACTTATATATAAGTGAACCTTTGCTTATTCAAATATGAAAATACTAAAATAATTCAGGAATCTAAAGGCCTATTTGGTTTAGCGGTTAAAATTCAATAGATAATGGATAGCGAGCAATGAGTAGCAGGTAGCGAATAGCGGCAGCAGGTAGCAGGTGACAGTTAGCAGATACTAGATGGTGGATAACAGAAAGTAGGTAGCGGATAGTAGATAACAAATTTAATAAATATAACTGTTTAATTATACAATAATTAGTGATTGTTATTTAATATTAAATTACTAATAAAGACATGTTTTAAAACAATTAAATATATTTCTTTCTAAATATTTTTTTTATTTTTTATTTTTTATTTTTTATTTTTAAAATTATTAATTTTATAAAATAATAATAAAAAAATAAATAAATAAAATTAATTATAATAATGTAATTACACTCTCA